CGCTGATGCCATCGACCTCCCTTCTCCAATCGACAAAAGTATACGAACACCGGCCGTTCGGAAATGTAAAGGCACGAATGGACTTACCCCAGATAGCCTTCCCATGGAGTCAATCGCATACCGAAGAACTATAATAGACTTTGACTCCATGGCGATTGAACTATGCGTATGGGATCTGAGCGCTATTCGCCAATAATATGCACTCAGATCCAGGCTATCTGGGGATGTGTTACACGAATGAGAAACGTTCGGCAGTTATAAAGTTATGTATTTTTATGTGTTTTGTGACTTGTATTTAAAATGGCGATTTGCCTCTGCTCGGGGAGATAATTGAATTACTTCTCAATTATCTCCCGGGCAGAGGGGAGGAAACTGTGATGTATGCTGGGAATATTGTGTGATTGTATGTCTGGAATGTCCCCATGTCCATCTGCTATTCCAGTCTCCCATTTGGTCCCCTAGGGGAGTGTCCACCAAGTGGGAGACCTGCATAAATACGGGCGGGTAGCCCACAGTAAACTCAGTTCGTGTTTTACCCTCAATGCGGAGCTTGGTCTCGTTATTGGGGGGATTTTATTACCGGCGACTAGAGACTGCTATTTGGAATTATTAGCCGCTTGGAAGATATTGGCATTCGGCTGATATTGGCAGTTCATGAGCTTGCGGCTCGTGAAGGGTAGGAGCCGTACGGATACCGTTCGGGAGGTTGGAGTGTTCCCTGGCTGGCGGTTCGCATGATTGTATTGCATACGCTTACAGACAACATTATTGCGAACGGGGAGCATTCACTACGGTTTGTACATTTCATGCTGAAGGTACCGTAACACATGGGTGCTATGAAATGCAGTTTTTAAGTATTAATTTTGTGTGTGCATTAAAATGTTGACTTGCTACTAAAATCCATTGATGACTAAATTATTATAAAGCTTAATCAAGCTGGATGAGGTTGATTAAAGTTATATTCTCCATAAGCTGTTTAGCAACTGTTGCATCTCTCTCAAATCACATGTATATTTTAACTCCATACAGCCTCTGCCAGAAGGTGACTAGGAGTTAAAGACCAAGAGAGACAGTCAACTTCTTGTACGCAATATGTTGGGGAATACATTTCCAACTAAAAATCTTGTGTTTTATTTATTTAGTTTTCTTGTTTTCTCTGACCTTTGCCCATAAATACAGGGGTCCAAAACCAGAACTGGTTTAAGTTTTTATTTGGCCAGGGATGAACATGACAAGAGAGTTGGACAGCAGAAGCTTTAACACCTTGTGCATACCTACCCTAGCCATGTGTAGTCAGGGAAATGTGTCTGCATGCTGCGTATGTTAACACACAAAATAAGGTTGTGAGTTTTTCAGATGACTGATTGACAGCCAATGGAGATTAAACGTTTTTAACAAGGGACAGCATCTTTGAACCAGAACCACTTCAGTAAGGTAAAGTAGTTATGATGCTTATAATAACCATTTCATTTTTGAGGTTTTGTTCATAAAGGTTAATCTAAAAACCTTACATATTCAAGGTTGTCTTGTATTCAGGTCACACAGATCGAACAGAAATTGCTGTAATGTATTTCTTATAGAAACTGTCTCTGTGGTTCCTGAGGCTATTTGCCCCAGATCATCTTGTTTATGTCTGCCTTTTAAAGGTAAATATATAATATTGACTGTATTTAGAATACAAACAAATGTATGCAATTTGTCTTGCACTGCTAACATCTGAATTTTTTATTTAAATGTTCTTTTAAATTTTATTCTCTACATATTCTCTGTCAATTGTAATTATTTAATGACAGATACCCTTTCCATGCATGCTTAACAGAATAGCCAAACAATTAGAGCAAGTTAGACTTACTGGAAAAAATATTGCTTTATGTCTCCTATTTGATACACTGTCTATAAGAATTTACACATCACTTATTCTTGAGATTCCCGTTTGAGAGGCTGGGTATCAATTGTGAAAAGACACTTAGAAAATTTGCCAATGTTTTACTAGTGATATACAATGGAAAAGGCAATTTCTCTTGGTTTTACACCATTGAAAAAAATATTGAACATCACCTGTGAATTGTGTTAAAGCTTTTCATTCATGTAAAGCTTTGCTATTGTTAAAATGCATGTAAAAGATTTGCAATATACATCCAATCCAAGGCACAAATGCAAATGAGCATGAAAACATTGTTTCTGTTTCACCTATTCCACAAACTGTGTTCAATGGTAGACAAGGGCAACAATAATATTTTTGTTGAACATTCTTTAATAAGATACAGGCATACTAGCACACAAATGCTGGTTATGGCCATGGTTGCAGATGGCCTGCAAATATTACATAGTACATAGTATGAACATTGTGTTTTAGATGGTAAATAATGTGAAACAATGTTCCACAGGATAATTGTGAAAGCAAGAAGTACTCAATTAATAGTACTGCAGATATTTTTACATTAGTTAAACAATGTATATTTGAACCATCTGTTTTCTGAAAACAAATGCCAAAGCACTGACAAAAATATATCCTTTGGGATACAGCTGCGATATATTATGTGCCTTATTAAAGAATACCACATAATCTATATGATGTGTATATATATATTTAAACATAATTGTTTATGAGCCCATGCCACACTGGGCTTTGGTAAACTCACTTCTTTTTTTGAATTTTTTTTTTTTCATTAAATGTCAGGACTGCTATTACTCTGAAAGGAACAGTTGCGTACATGATGCAGAAGGTGCAGCATTGTCTCATGATGCACACATGGCCACAGATGTGCTCACACCTGCTCCTGTCTGATAAATGTTTCCTTCATTTTGATAAACTTGAACTAAGTTTTTAACAGTTAGTAAAATGCCATACACTACATCAATATGATTGAACATAGAAGTAAGGTAAACTATTAACATGGAAATATAATAATATATTGACTTGAGCATTTAGTGGTTCATCCAAATGTTGGGCCATCAGTAATGTGTCTGAACCCCACAACTCTGAATTGCCACATGGACATCTAACCAAAGAAACCAAAAATGTTTGAGCCGTTTAATTTGTGTTGTGATTTTGAGTTCCATCCATGGTGCCAGAAAAAGAATGAGGGAAGAATCAACGTTTTCTTTTTTTTGGCTGGTTGCAAAATAAGCAACTTATCAGTTTGCCATGATAGATGAGAGGTCTGCCTAATGATGTGAAAGGTATCTTCTGTCAAGAGATGAAACAATCATGGGAAAAAAAATAGCATTCACGGTTAGGGGACAGCTACTAAATATTGGTTTTATTCACAGATCAAGTGAGAAGTGACCAATATATTTCCAACCAGAATTCTTGTAGACACTTTGATTTCAGCTTTTGAGGATGACAGACCAGCAGTGATTGTGTGTTTTAACATTGCTGTGCCTGTGTGGGAGTTGGACAACGTGTGTGTCATTGATGCTTGTGTTAGACTGGTGATGTGATTGGGTTACTCAACTGTGATTCATTGATTTCAAATTATTGTACTGATATGTGATTATTATTTATTATTTTTGTTATATACAGATTATTTTACTTGCATTTCTTCAGTGCCACTACTAATGCTTTGCAATATAGTGTATGTGTCAGTTTACTGCACAAGTGAACTCTGCCTGTTGTGAATGGGGCAGGTCTTTTTTTTACTCTCTTTTTTTCGAGTCTTCAGCCAAGTGTGCTGCAGGAGCATTAGCAGTATTGTAAGCAGGGTACAGCATCAATGAAGATAAGAAGATAAGAGTGCCACTGCTTATAGATTGTAAATTGCAATACAGTATGGGACCATTTACACCACAGTGTTACATGCAGGGGTGCAATTTGATTGAAGAATTAGATTTAAAAGCATATTTTTGTTTAACTTTGTGCTGTGTATGAGCACTGTACAATGCGTTGTGTGCAGTGTAGTGTTCTCGACCATGAACACTGTTCACACCTCAATGGTAAAGGTAGACATGCAGTTGACAAACCCCCAAATAGTGGCATTACTGCCCCTCTTCTCCAATACCCTAGCCACACCCCACTGAATGACTCTACTCTAAGGAGGGGTAATACAACTTATTCCTGTAAAATAAAAGTATACTTACCCATCGTATTTGTTCTTCTTAGGGTGGAATGGTTGAGTGCAGTGGTGTATCCTGGTTTTGTGCTGCCCTAGGCAGGACAAAACTCAGGCACCCCCCGCGCCACCCCCACCCGCGCAACCGCCACCCAACCTTCCCCCCTGCTCCGCCTTCTAAATACACACACATTCACTGACAGATACGCATTCACTAGCTAACAGAAACACACAGTCACTAACAGACACACACTCACTCAACAGACACACACACTCACAGGCAAACACACACACACACTCAACAGGCAAACACACACACTAACAGACATCCACACTAACAGACATCCACACTAACAGACATCCACACTAACAGACACACACACACTAACATAACATACACACTAACATTAACATACACACTAACACTAACAGACACACACACACACTACTAACAGACACACACACTAACAGACATACACACACACTAACAGACACACACACACACTAACACTAACATACATACACTAACATTAACATACACACTAACACTAACAGACACACACACTAACACTAACATACACACTAACATACACACACTAACACTAACAGACACAAACACTAACATACACACACTAACAGACACACACTAACAGACACACTAACATACACACACTAACAGACATCCACACACACACACTAACATACACACACTAACACACACACTAACATACACACACTAACATACATACACACACTAACATACACACTAATAGACATCCACACACACACTAGCAGACATACACACACTCACTAGTGTTTTTTTTTAATTTTTTTATTTAACCCCCCCCCAGCCTCCTTACCTTTGGTAATGCTGGGGGGGGTTCTTCCTCTCCCTGGGGTCCAGTGGCTGCAGGGCGGGCGGCCGCGAGGGAGCTCTTCCCCTGAGCGCTCTGCTCAGCTCCCTCGCGCGCCGCCAGCAGAGTGAGGCTGGGAGCCGGAATATGACGTCATCAACCCGGCTCCCAGCCTCACTCTGCTGGCGGCGCGTGAGGGAGCTGAGCAGAGCGCTCAGGGGAAGAGCTCCCTCGCCAGCCGCCCGCCCGCCTGCCCAGCGCTGCAGCCACTGCCGCCCGCCCAGCGCTGCAGCCACTGCCGCCCGCCCAGCACTGCAGCCACTGCCGCCCAGCGCCCAGAATGTCTGTTAGCCGCGAGGCTAACAAGACATTTGCCTTGGGCATTTGGGGGGCGGCGTTTTTTGCCGCCTCCTGAAAAATACCGCCCAAGGCAAATGCCTTGTTTGCATTGTGGCTAATACGCCCCTGGTTGAGTGGATATTTCACTTTCCCACTCACTTTTCCATTTAATTTTATTTATTTTCAAGAGTGCAAAATTAAAAACAATCAACATAAACAAAGTTCTCACTTAATATATATTTTAATTCAGATAAAGTAATATAATTATGACAGCTCCCAATTGGCATTACAAAGATGGGCAGTGTGGTATTAAAATACCATTACAACGCTACTTTAAGAAATATTTATTCAGAAACCAAAAACTTACAGTGGCACACAAACTAACTAGAGCAACAACCCCACTAACTACAACTTAGCACATAACACACAGTAACATACAAGGAAATGGCACATAAATCACCTAAAGCAACACACCCACTATTTGTAAATATAGCAAACAACATCTCATTAGGTCTCAAACACAGCAAGACTCCAGTATACACCAAGATCTCCATTCCAATGATGACACACATGAAGTGGGAGAAAAAGAGAAAGTAGGTGTGCAGTGATATTTAACTCATGCCCTGTGACCTTACTTGAAAAGCCAAGTACTCTGAAGTAAAAGGGCACATATCCTTAATCATAGTATTTGTGTAACAATATATCACCCCAGGCAATGCAATACGCAAGCTGTTTTTGCACTGCGATACACTAACGTGCATTTTTACTTGATTTTGTTTTATCCAAATATTTTTTCCTAAGACGATCGCATGGATGAAAACAAAAGTATAGAGGAATGAATGAATAGGCAACATATTGAGAAGTAATGACAAACAAGCAGATAGAAGAAGGAAAGAAAATGGAAAAGTCATGGAGGAAAAGAGACAGGGAAATTACCATATCCATTGAAGAATAGTGGTCATATAAAGCCATTTATGATCACATAGTTGTTTGGCTCCTTTTTAAATCATAATGATAGGATAAATCACCCAAATAGCCTTGATCAAAAGTTTACATGTCCTTGCAATGTTTGTCCTAGTTACAGACACACACATGTTAAAATGGCAATTAAGGGTTCAATACCCACACCTGTGGCTTTTTAAATTGCAATTCATGTCTGTGTATAAATAGTAAATGAGTTTGTTAGCTCTCACATGGATGCACTGAGCAGGCTACTGAGCTATAAGAAGCAGAAAAGAACTATCAAAAGACCTGCTTAACAAAGTAATAGAACGTTATAAAGATGCAAAAGAATATAAAAAGATACCCAAAGCCTTGAAAAAAAGCCAGTCAATACTGTTCAATCACTTATTAGAAGGGGAAAATTCAGGGATATCTTGATACCAAGCCAAGGTCAGGAAGACCAAGAAAGATTTCAGCCACAACTGCCAGAAGAATTGTTCGGGGTAAAAACAAAAATCCAAAGGTAGCCTCAGGAGAAATACAGGCTGCTCTGGATAAACAAGGTGTGGTTGTTTCAAGGAGCACAATATGATGATACTGGAACAAAAATGAGCCACATGGTCGAGTTTCCAGAAAGAAACCTATACTATGCCAGTGCCACAAAAAAGCCCAGTTACTATATGCCTGACAACACCTTGACATGCCTCACAGCTTCTGGCACACTGTAATTTGTAATAGAGGTGTCACAAGACCTATAAAGAAAGGAACACCATCCCCACTGTGAAGCATGGTGGTGGTTCACTGATGTTTTGGGGGGTGTGAGCTCTAAGGGCATTAGGAATCTTGTGAAAATTGACGTCAAGATGAATGCCACGTTATCAAAAAACACCGGCAGACAATTTGCATTCTTCTGCACGACGGGTGCGCGTTGGATATTCTTGGACTTTCCAGCATGACAATGACCATAAGCACAAAGCCAAGTTGATCCTCCAGTGGTTACAGCAGAAATAGGTGAAGGTTCTGGAGTGGTCATCACAGTCTCCTGACCTTAATATCATCGAGCCACTCTGGGGAGATCTCAAATGTGCAGTTCATACAAGATGACCAAAGACTTTGCATGACCTGGAGGCATTTTGCCAAGACGAATGGGCAGCTATATCACCTGCAAGAATTAGGGGCCTCATAGACAACTATTACAAAAGACTGCACACTGTGATTGATGCTAATGGGGGCAATACACAGTATTGAAAACTAAGGCTATGCAGAAATTTGAACAGGGATCATTTCATGTTTTTGTCTTTGTTGCCATGTTTTGTTTTATGATTTTGCCATTCTGTTATAACCTACAGTTGAATATAAATCCCATAAGAAATAAAATAAATGTGTTTTGCCTACTCACTCATGTTTTCTTTAAAAATGGTAAATATATTACCAATTCTCCAACTTTTGAGCACAACTCTATGTCTGACTGGTATGGTTCACAAGGTTATTTGCTAAACTAGGATATTTAGGATATTGTAAAGGGAATTGAAAAGTTTAGACCAAGATAGCTGAGTAGGAGAATTTTAGTAATTTGTCTTTTTTAGGATAACATTTTAATTTACTGGTTAACCCCTGGTGTCACCTGACACTCTCATCAAATGAATGTCATCCAGATATTCAAAGAATATATATCACTCAAGCAAGGGACTGTCAAACTACTCAAAATCAGAACAGAATGAGAGATGGCATCAGAAGGCCTCTACAATGGGCTGATGCAGCAATAGACGTTTCATATGCAGCAATATGCAAACTCTCACTTTTGTAAAATATATAATGATATATTTCTACAGCATTTAAGTGAAATGTTATATAACAAATGTTCATGAGCATTTCATGTTGCCATTTGGGAGTTAACATTTTCTCTGCTTTTTATAAGAAATATGAATGCATTAATTAAAAACCTAACAAATATTGGTATAGAATTTATAGCTCAAGATCAGTCCAAATTCCCTCTTATCTGCAAGAATAAATAGTTTAAATAAATATTTGGCTTAAAGTGGGAGACTGTTTTGCCCACTAGTCTGTGTAATTGGTTGGTAAACCGAGGTGTATTTTGACTTTGTCCATTCAGTCCCATATGGTGGTGTTGGATGTGTTTTAGGTATTATATAATTAAAATAGAAAATCGTCAATTAAAGCTTTGTGGTATAAATTACAAAGCATGCAGAGTAATTGCATTCTAATTAAATGTATACAACAAGTCATTTGGGACTATGACTCATTAAAAAGCTGGATGAACAACCCACACACATTAATTGGATGTGTTTTTTTTTTCTATAAGATCTCATTTTTATAAATGGTATGCAACATTTCACTATATATTAAACAATAATAATATTGTCTAGGTAAATTAACTTCCCATCTTTTCATCTTGTCACCTTTTCAACTGTCTTCAAATACAGCTAAAAATAAGGGCCATAATTATACAGCTTTGCTCTGCCCTGAGGTGTTCTGCTGTGATTATAATACAGTTCTAATAGATTGGTATCTTATTTGAACTGGTCCAGCTAAAATGAACCTAGGGCATCCACTCCGCAATATTACCCAGACTCCGCCAACGAAGTATGTGTAAATAAGATGTAGTAGTCCTGGGAAACCATTTAACAATTAAAGATACTTGTCTTGGTACCAAGGAGATAGGGAAGGAGCTGGGTGTGGAGATTTTAGATAATGTACCATAATACAGGTCTACCCTGACAAATATATCTATTTTGTTGGAGAGAGTAAAAACAGCTAAAGTGAGAGATTATTCCTAATTTCTACAGATTATAAATATATAGAGGACCCCCATAGCAATTAGAATTTTTACTCAAGGTCTGTAGAAATGTAGGACTTTTTTGATGATTTCTTTTTATTCATTTTTATTTATTTATTACTGGCATTTATAAAGCACCAACATATTCTGCAGCACTGTATAACTGGGAAAAAGACAAACAGAATAAGAACAGACCAATACAACAGGTAGAGGACCCTGTCTGTAAGCTTACTGTTACAAAATGTAAAGGCTGTGTAAAATCATCAATCACAAGCAACAAATGGGGATTTGGTCACACCATATGTTAACTGTGTTAAAGGGACACTGTAGTCACTATAACCACTTTGTCTCTTTGAATTGGTTATAGTGCCTGGAGTGCCCTGGCACTGTCCCTCTGTTCAGTGTTGCACCATGTTTGTGCAGTATGCCACAAAATAAGAGTCCCTGGCCACCCACAGTCCTTCTGTATGTGTAGCTAAGGCAGAGATTACACCCTTCCTTTTTGTCATACCCATTCATACCGTCAGTTGGAGCTCTGACAGGTTAAAAGCAGTCAGCTGACAGTCTCAGCCAATCACAGCTGCCCATTGCTGCTGAGGGTAATACTTCCTTATTAGCCAAAGCAGCACAGAGGAGATGGACTGCCGGGGTCTCTTGTTTAGCATTAAAATATTACAACATTAAAAACTTTTTAATGCTGAAAAAAATGATGGCACCAGGGGATTCAATACACTATAACCAGTTTAATGAGATGAAGCAGATACAGTGCCTATGGTGTCCCTTTAAATATGCCGCTATAGCAAACAAAGTACACTTCTAATAAGAGATTCATTTTCTGCATATGCTACCCAAAACCCTTTTTTAGTCTTTGAATAGCAGCTAAACTTAATATATATTTTTGCAATACTGAACTACACAATACAGATATAGTTTTTTATTTTATGGTAGTGTCTATTTAATGAGTCTGAATCTGTAACACAATATTAGACTCTTATTGAACTATGGTACTGTGAACCTTTCGCTGCTCTAGAATTTCCCATTGCTCTCCAGAGGTCTGACTCAACACTTCCCACTATTTATTGGTCTATATGTTTTACCCTTTAATTGGAAACCTTTATCAATAGTTTTGACAGATGCAT